TATTTTTTTATTAATAAATTAAATTGATTTATGTTAAAACCTATTACGAACACGGCAACAGTAAAAAAAAAGAAAAACATATTTAATTTGCTCCATCTGGTTTAAGTGTCCTCCGGGTAATAGCGACGTAAAATCAACGGTCCCTTGAGTGTCCTTATATGCGGATTCCACTGTAACTGAATCTGACTAACTGAATCATCATAGGGCATTAATAAAGCCTAGATTTATTTCGACTCCCATGTGTTTGCTGTAAGTGTGTATAAATTATATTAGCCATACACACGCACACTTATAAACACACTCATCTACACACTAACCTACATATATACTCACATAAATAAGAAGAAATTTATGCACTTAGAGTATAGAACTTGGCTTATTTTTAGCTTTTCGCCAAACGTCAATGTGTTAGTCATTCAATCAGTCAGTAATGAATCAATGAAACAATCATATACATACATATATATACGTACATATATACTTATGTTTATGTGTAGTAAATTACATTGCAATTGCTTAAGAATGCAGACACCGCAAATTTCAATTACACTTAGCCAATGCGTGTGTCCGTATATATGTGTGTGTGTGTGCGTGAAGTTGCAGTTACGTGACTGTCTGTGCAGCTGCGGCTGCCTTTTGTGGCAACTTGTGACGACGTGCTTCTCAAACTTGAATGAAATATTAAAATTTTCAAGAGCCTGCCGGAAATTGAGGACAAAAATAGCTCCAAATAAGCAAAGTTGAGCTTGCGATTGAGCCTCAGTCATAATACATACATCAGTCATAATATATATATGTAAATTGATTGAGTATACAATATTTCTGGCATCAGTTGATTTTTAAAAAGCATTTCTCTTTTTCACACTTAAAAAATAAAAAGACAAAAAATGAAATCTTTTTTTATTTTCTGGGAATTTTTTTAGTAATTCACAGTAAATCACGACAAAATTGTTATAAAAAAAGCAAATTATAAATAAAAAAAATAAAAAAATGTAATTAAAGCAGACTATAAATGTTTTATTCTAATTATTTTATTCTGAATAATACTACTGAAATGTTACCAATATTTTTCAGTATTAAATACTATATTATATAAATTACATAATATCTGATTGATCACTCCGCTCTACTACAATATTCTAGTTGAAGTGCTATTCTATATAATGCTCAAATTCACGGAAATCTGTTAACAGATATGCGCTGATTGATTATAGCATTTTAATCTATAGTCAGGTTTTAATTGACACGAGATGCCGTATCTAAATGTGCCTCGAATTGTTGCGATAAGCGCATTGCGTCAAGCTAATAATGAGCGAATACCCTAAGAGGTTTATGAAGTGCGTTCGACCGCATTCGCTGTTAACGGAGTCACTCGAGGCTAGAATCCATCAGGTGTCTATTAGGCCTCTAAATTTATTATGACAGCTGGTATGCGAGCATATCGGTAATTGAATGTCAACGACGTTACTGTTACCAAGTTAACTAAATGGTGCATAAATTTGGATATAACCTATAAGCATTTTATTGATTACGCTTATCATCGATCGAAATCGATGAAAGAGCAACAGGTAAAAATATGACGTGATTGAAGCGTTTCACGCCAAATTTTCGGACTAAACAATGAAATTCTTTTATCTGTTAAAAATTCTGAGTCACTTAAGTACTTTTTGTATTGTTGTCTAAGCCTTTTATGTGTAACTAAAATGTGGTTCATGGTCAAGAAAAAACTAAAAATAGTTTTTTTTTAGGAAATTTTTTTTATTTTAGTTTCAGAGTGTGTTTCCTTCAAGGAAATATTTATATTTTATTTAATATTTCTCATTTCGTTTATAATATATATTATTTGA